GCAATACCTGGAGGTATTCAAAAGGCCTTGCTGTTGTGTGCTCGTGTGCAAGCGTGTGTGAGCGCTTGACATTTAGCAGTAAAAAAAAAAAAAATGACAGGACGGAAGAAAAAAGGATGAAACATCACAAAGCTTAGAGGGTCTTTGCCAAGAGTAAAGTGATAAGATGAGGGCAAAGGAGAAAAAAGGTGAAAATGGGCTGTATTGTTATGGCAGACCATTGTCTGGCTGTTTTAAAAACTCAATGCGTTTTACACATGGGAAAGGTCACTTCAGAGAGTAGCCACAGAAAAAGATATATATACAAACACATGTATAAAATTAATTTAGGGTAGGATTTAGGGCTGCACAATATACTGTAATCACAGTAATTTCTGTTGAGCATGTGAACACAATAGCCAATCAATGCTGCTTAAGAACGTGCTCAAATGTTAGCGTGACAGACATTTTTAAAAATTCAGTACTAATGGTATCGAATTCCAGTATCGTTACGACACTAGTGGGGCGCTCAGTGGGCATTTTAAACTTGCCGTTTTTACAGATATTACAAGTTGATAAACGCAGCACCCATCAGTGTCACTTTTGAGCTACCCTTCCACACTGGAGGGGTGGAACAATACCACACAACAGGGTATATGTCGAGGTATGCTAATAGGACTTGCCAGTTACCTGGGTTAAGCACTTCCGGTGATCTGTATGCCAATGCAAAAATTGGCGCGTTTAAGGTCTGTTATCTTTAAAAATCTGCGATCACCACTGGCTGAGTGATATCTGATATAAAGTGGGTCTCAGATTGTACATGAAGCACTGCATTAAATTACATTTCCCCCCGCCATGCCTTTATAATATGAGCATTTATTTTACCCCAGTGTATTCCCCAGGGGCTTCTGCGTTAGCCTGCCAATTCTGAAGGCTGCGTGCGAGTAAACGGCTTTATGTCTCATTTTACGCTTGAGCAACTAAATGAATGCCAAAGTTTGTTTAACTGAATGTATTTTAGTTACATTACAACATGGTTGCTGTAAAAGCAACCGTATAAAGTGGAAAAAAATTTACAATAACAGGTCACCGGAAGTTTATCAGTATGGGATCAATACTAGCTCTACTGTCAGGAAATAACGTACTGAAGACTTTTTAAGATCCTGTGAAATTCAAATAAAAAAAGTATTTTACTTTCAGTCATTTTAAGAATATCTATTAGCTAGTGTGCTCCAAAACAGTCACAAAATGTGTATATGAACATATAAAACAGATATACACTTCCCAAAACTTGTAGTTTGTCACTTCCACCTAAATCGATCAACGTTTTTTCACATAACCTCATACTTCAGCTCCTCTTCAAATCTTGACCAATCAAATGCTCTCCAGTATCTGACATGCCCCACCCACATCCAGACGCTTCTTATTTGCTTTTCATTTGATGCGTTTGATCTTAACCACTCTCACTGGCAGAGCTGTGAGAAAAAAACTAAATGCTATTGGCTATTTTTAAAAAGGGGAGGAGCTACTCTATGTCCCACCCTCATTTTTTAGTTGACACTGGCTGTTTCTCAATTCTGAGAACGGACTTGCATTCTTGTGGAGACCGGTCTTGCCAGGTCACCTCGGAAGAACGAATTCGGTAGACCACGAGAACAGAGAACGCGTCCTGTGAGAAATGAGATGCTGCGTTCTTCCTGACCTTCACACATTTTAAATGGAAAATTATTTAAACATTAGAGCATTCATAAAACGATTTATTGTTTTCCCCTTTTCACAATATATACTATGCATAAAAACATTATAAATATACATTGCACAATATAAATAGCACAGATTTTAATACAAATTACAGCAAACAAACACCCTTAATGTGCTTATTCTTTTATTAAGATGTCCATGGTAATGTTTACTTTTATCGTGTCATTTAGGGAAACTCCTGAGGTATATAAGTGATATCTCTGAACTTTTATTGTAAATCTAAATAAAATGCTGAGCATTCCACCTCCAGTCGCAATGACCTCTTGGACTTCCAGAGTGAGATCGGTGCTCAAGTCTGCATCGGTGCGTCCTTGATATCAAGAACACATCTGGGAAGTTTCCCACGTCCTCCGTTCTTGAGGTCTTGAGTATTGGAACTGTACTTTGGCAGCTGATGATGACGTTACACAAGAACACGAGGATGCAAGACCGCTGAAGAACGCATATTGAGAAACAGCCATTACGTCAAAATAACAAATAAAAATACACCTTTCAAAGCACTTCACAGGACTTTTAAGACTTGTAACAGAACAGTGGGGATACTCTATATCAAAGCAACCAACTGAAACAACGCTGCGCTGCAAAAATGTTCACATCTGAATGGTTTTTTTATAACAGCGCTCGCATTTCTGCCATGGAAAAATGCTTTGGTGGACATGCAGCCTTAGGGGTTGATCACACCGAACACGCTTTATCATTCTGAGAATAGTTGCGGCACACTGACTTATTTTGTTGACAAGGAAAAAAGAAGTGCACTGCACTTTTTATGTTGCTTGGCAACCACTGAATCAGCTGCGTATCCCCTTGTTAAATGGTGACGTATGAAATACTGTTTCCAGGTCCAAGCCGCTACACATTTGAATTGAGAAAATACTCGTTTATGACCACTTTTTAGTCATATCAAACATAAAAGTGAATTTTATACAAAATCATAGTGTACACTACAGTCTCTGGACTTGCTGCATCACAGACACCAATGTTTTAACAATTCATAAAAAATCCATCACTTTCAGGCCATCAGATATTAAGTATAGATATATGTAATGTTTGTGTTTATATAGCGCACGTATTCTATAGTACCATACACCCAAAGCACTTCACAAACTAGTTTTCCCATGTGGTCTCGCATTTAGCCCTGCTTAGTTTCAGTGAGTTACCGGTCTTGGGCTGCAAGGTCATATGACTGTGGCCATAATATATATATATGGCGACACAGTGGCGCAGTAGGTAGTGCTGTCGCCTCACAGCAAGAAGGTCGCTGGTTCGAGCCTCAGCTCACTTGGCGTTTCTGTGTGGAGTTTGCATGTTCTCCCTGCTTTCGCATGGGTTTCCTCCAGGTGCTCCGGTTTCCCCCACAGTTCAAAGACATGTGGTACAGGTGAATTGGGTAGGCTAAATTGTCCGTAGTGTATGAGTGTGTGTGTGAATGTTTCCCAGAGATGGTTGCGGATGGAAGGGCATCTGGTGCAAAAAAACGTGCTGGATAAGTTGGCGGTTCATTCCGCTGTGGCGACCCTGGTTTAATAAAGGGACTAAGCCGACAAGAAAATGAATGAATATATATATATATATATATATATATATATATATATATATATATATATATATATATATATATATATATATAT